ACAAAGAGATCACAGTTAGAACCGCTCCTCATCGGGAATGGGACCAACGAGTGGGGAGTGTTGCTCCACCTCTTCAACGCCACTGGGCGCTTCTTCAGGCGTCGCAGTCACCGGTTTGAGTGGAGGCAGCCGTGAGGTGGTGGAGTTGGAGGGGGAAGCGGAGGGAGAATGCGGAGCACGAACCTCAGTCGACGACGTTATTAATCAATAAGGAATATCACGAATGCAAGTGGTCAAGCTCCCGTGTAAACTCCCCACCATTGAGATTTAGTAAGCTGAGAGTAGATGATCATTCCGACTTTCATTGGTGACAAGGGGAGAATGCTCTAGCTTTAACTACACCACCAACTTGCTTGCTGAGAAAGTCCAAACTTTGAATTTCAGGATGAATCGTCCCTGCGACAAGTATTTAGCTTCGACGATTCCGCATTTCCGGTGACTGATCCCACTGGGTGCACTTACAGTAATCAAATTACGAATGTAAAGAAGCAATTCAAGATTGCACCCACTGATCCTGCTAACATCTGCCATGGCAGATGCTTTGGAAGCATCTAACATCATGATTCGATTCATGATGACGAACGGGTCCTCTGTTCAGCGGATCTTCAGACATCATAAAACAGACTTAAACCCATCAAGGTCTGATACCAGCCTCAAGATAAAGCAACACCGGCAGAGTAGATGTGATTTGATGCAGAGAACCCATCATCCTCTACAAAAGAAGGCCAATCACTCACAAAAATGGCTTGCAGCAACCTAGCACCATGCCATCCACCTTCAGGCAATTCAAAAGACAAAATGCTCGAAGAATACGGAACATAGACAAAGTTTCATACTTTACGGGAGGAAAGAGAAGAGTGAAATGGAAAGAGAAGAGCTTTGAGAAGACGAAGGAAGAAAATCCACACGCACACAATTGAGGAGACCGATTTACAGGAGCGGGGACAAAGAATAAGAGAACACACGGGATGGGACGCAGGAAGTGAACGGACCAACCCTAAGCACTTATGCGGTCGTTGGTGTGCGTGCGTGCATGCGTGTTTGTGTTCGAAGAGGAAAGAGACATGCACAAAATTTTCGGCACCAACACGCACTCGTTTGCTACCTCTAACGTAAAGGAAGAAAAAAGGAAATTTTCAGTAGAAAAAAGTGAGAAAAGGGAAGTTAGAAAGAAGAAAGGAGTCTGAAAGTCAGCAAATTCAGGAAGCAGCATCAATTGCTGCCTTTGTATCGACTCTCTCCTCCTCCTCCTCCTTTCCCTTCTCATCGGGTTCGGGCGAAGCCACAACTACAGTCGCTTTGTCATCGACCCTAACACCATCTTCATTTTTGTCTCCAGCTTTTGATTTCTTTACTGATGCAGTGCTTTCCCCACCGGACAGCTGTTTCTGGTTTCCCCCATATTGGTCCTGCTGCTGATCAAAGTTCTCAACAATCTGAGGTGATGTCGACTGCATCGACATCTGCGGCGGTGGTGGTGGTGGCTGCGTCGAATTCGGCAATTGTACATAATTGTTCAAAAGTGTTGCTGCAGCCGCTGCGGAATGGCCGTCCACAAAAGCTTCTCCAGCGGTAGGAGGTTGATATGTGGCCGCACCAGCAGCCATCGAGGCTGGTTGGAGTGCCGCAGTTTGCCACTCAGAATAGAACTGATGTGGCTGGCGAACTGCGGCCGAAACAGCTGCCAAAGTTAGAGATTGAAATTGCTCAGCAGTGAGATCGAGTGGGTTAGCGTGAGTGTAATGGTGTTGATGATGTCCAGCAACAACTCCAGACGAAACTGAATAAGTGGGCTGTACCAAAGGCGGTTGGGATGGTCGCGGAAACTGATGAGTGCCAGCGACTACTGCACTGGACTGAGGATACTGAAACGAATAAAAGCAAAACACTTTTCCTCTGTCATCCATTAACCCAATGGCTAAATCTGCTTTGTCAGCCTAGTAACTTGACACCAATGATTGGTGCAAAAAAGGCGAACGATGCAAATTACAATCGTTTCATAAATACCAGCATTCGTACAAAAAGGAGTATATAACACCAATCCATCTTTTCGGTGCAAAATGAATTACAAAGGCATGAAAGGTAGGAAATTTCAAAGCGTTGTTGCATTCAAACGGCAGATTTATTAGCAAATACAAGCCCTTACAAGATCCCTCATCTGAAATCGTTGACAGAGACAAAATTGACTAGTATGACAATACCAAAAAAATTTTTGAGAATCTCATGACAACAAAACTGTGATCGGTAGTTAAGAATAAAAACAATCGCTTTCGGTCATGTTCCCATGTTTAATAAAAAGGCTCACCACGAAGACTCGGAACCGAGCAAGTAAAAACCTACAGAGCATGAAGTAACTCACCATAACGGGATTGTTGGAAACTGCAGCAGCAACTACGGCGGCGGCCAGGTGAGCTGCGTACCGTGAGTCAATAGCAGCAGCCGGTGAATGACCGTTTACTGGAGGTGGCTGTGGTAAAAGATGATGATGCTGTTGTTGATGGTCGGTAGGCGGGGACTGAGGTGCAGGCATCTCGAGAAGACCTGCGACAGACGGCGTGGCACCGGTGGTGGTATTGACATTGGTTACAGCGGCGGCAACAGATCGCGATGTCTCATGGCCCTCAGTGGGAGGCCGTGATGGATTTGGATAGCAGGCAGCAGCCGGACCGTTGGTGGCTGCATGAACATAACCGCCTGCGGCTGCTGCAGCAGCGATCATGCCTGCGCTGTCCGATAGCACGCCTACTTACATAAAAAGACAAATTCCATGTAGACCCCTTGTGCCGCCATTTTCCTAATAGGCACACAAAATCCTATTCGGTATTCCGTTAAGATGACCCAAGAGGTCTGCAAGGGTCAGCACCGGTATACCACTGTTAATACAACGGGACCAAAGCATCGTACCCAGTCAGATATTAATACAAGCTTCTACCCTTATGCTCTTCATCAGTTAATAGAATGAAGAGGGTCAACACTCGAGATGACCATCACACGCTCCCTCACGAGCAATAACACAATCTCACGGTAGATCAACTGGGAAGCATTCATAAAATCTGATACAAAAAAAAGTGGGGTTCTGACTGCAATGAGAGTCAGCCCTTCACTTTTGAGTGCCAGTACACCTCAATCAAAGCAGGGAACATGGTGGCATTAAACGGGAACTTTCTAGCGCATCATTATTTAATGCGTAAACATGCAGGCAATAAATTCATTCATCTTCAATCATGAACTTGTAAAAATAGGATATAGTACAGGAAATTCATTAAAAGCGCATCAAATTCAAAGCAACATCCTTAACAATAAACCAATCCATGCACCCAATACTAAACCCGTAAATCGAAAACACGACTGAAATAAAGCCACCAGAGAGACAGCCATTTAAAGAACTCGATCAAGTATCCGTACCGAATTGAGATTGTAAGTTCCCCTGATTTTCAAAAACACCGCTTCAATGACACTGAGACTTACCGGGCTGATAGATCAAACCAGTTGGAAGCTGCTGATTAGGGGAGAGAGCTGACATAGTTGGTGCCATAGCCTGGTGTTGTTGCTGTTGATGATTCTGTAAATGCAAATCACTACAGACGAGCTGTTGTGGTGGGGGCTGATGATGACGCGGGGTATGAAACCTCCCTCTAGAAGGACCGGTACAAGATGAGGAAGAGGCACCAGCGACAACAGCGCCAGTCGCAGCTGCTGCGGCAGCCGCAGCCGCTGCGGCGCGCCTCTTTGGATCCGCCTTGTCCGCCAGCTTGCAGCTAATCGGTTTGGCAGCACCGTTGCCGTTCGATGAATCACCATTTCCATTACCACCAGCCAAGACGTAGCGCTTTTCATTCATGCTATCTACGGCCCGTTGAGCCTGCTCTGCTGAGGCAAACCTGACGAAACCTATGCCTTTAACGAAAAAAGAAAGGACTGAGATGGCGCCAGAGCGGGCCAAAATCCGCAGACCTCGTTTCGCCAAATCATGTAAAGTGTACCCGTGTAGGCTCCATCCGTCTCGAGCAGTTTGACCGAGGTCACTTGTCCATAGGGTCGGAAGAGATTCAAAAGAGTTTCCTTCGTGAAACCAGTCTTAGGAAGATTCCGAACATAAACGTTTAGAAGATCCTTTTCATTCTCTAGGGCATACTTCACTACAAGCTGCCGACCTCCATTTTTTGACATCTCCACAAGATGATTGAGTGCTTTTACTGCGTCCTCCTCCGTTGCACAGTCAATGAAACCGGACCCTGAAGGCAAAGTTCTGAGATGAACAATCAATAAAAATAGAATTAGCTTAAAACCATGAGGTCTAAGTAACTCAGGTCTACGTCGACCACTGACGACGTATGACCTGAACTCCCACCTATTGTTCTTAAAGTTCTTATGAGTACAAGTCAAATATGGAGTGAGTTGAAATCTTCAACCAGATTTTCCAGTGTAATAATCACCACCACCCCTTCAGGAAATTAGCGAAGAGGTTTGAAGGAGAAGCCAATTGAAGAAATTTCTACAGAAGGAAACTGTACCTTTACATTTTCCATTGAGAAGCATGGCTTTGCAGGACTTTGGGCACACGACATTCTCAACCAGGGCTCGAACGGTTTCATCGGTATCAGACTCGGAAAGTCCTGTTATATACAAATTTGTTTTTGAAGTTGTCATGGACTTATTCTTCTTGTGATTCTACAAGAAAATCGTACGGTACAGAGCCGCAATGTAGATTTTATAAATCTAGTTCGTGATGCAAATAGAAGTCTTATCAGAAGCAGGAATTAAAGTCGTGCACAAAAATATTTAATATTTACTAAGCGATGTAAGGGCAGATGAGCTTAAGCGCGACTTATGAACATCACTTACCGTGGGCTGTGGAAGAGCACCAAAGTGTTTGAGAGAGTCATAATTACGAAACTGAGTTGGAAAAAAGGGGCCGGCATGTTGTTGGGGGAGAGCGGAGGTGTGAGGAAAAGAAGAAGCCGTGGCAGCCCCAGAAAAAGCCGCACCCAACTGGATTCCATTCAATGGAGAGAAATAGGGTAGCTGGGCTAATTGATGTTGATTCGACGCCGGCGGTGGTGGTGGCGGTGCAGACTGAAAGATTGAAGGCGAAGAAAGGAGCGCAGTACCTCTGAAGGCAGCTGCTGCGGCTGCAGCAGCGTTTGCCTGGGGGGACGTTTGAGGAATACAAAACCCCGCAGCTTGACGAGACTGCACAGGACCCGAATGAGTTGCAAAAGCTGCCATGATAGGAGAACAGAGGAATGGATACCCTCCGGGGGCTGCAGGACAAAAACTGGTAGAATTTTGATTCGGGTGAGCCTGATTGATTTGAACATGCATAGGAGCGGGGTGACGAATTGGGGCGCTCGTCGGGAAGGAGTTGAATATTGCAGTATTCGGCATAACTTCACCCTGAGCAGAAATGTTGGAGCCAGGTGGAGCCACATTGGGCGCAGTCCACTGCGTTGGGTAGGACATAATTCGATCCGGTGATAGAAAGTCAAGTCAAACGATGTCCAGTTATGGATAATGATAGGAAGTTATTCCTAAAGCAAAAACAAGCCACAGTCTAAACAATTAGATATGACAAGGGACAAAAATATAGTAGTAGCATATACGCCTGAAGAAAATATTCGAACCACACAAAAGACCTTTCACTGGGAAAGAGCAAAGAAAGTATGATATTTCGTAAGCTGTGCTGAAAGCAAAACCTTGCTTCCAATGCGAAGTACTGTGGAAATAAATAGACATGGCTAGACACCACTAAAATTCAGTCAATTTATTAATAGCAGGGATCAATATAACCAGAACCATAATAGAAAAGACGAAAAAGCACGTAAAACCAAGCATACAACTGACGACGACCAGACAACCCAGGTGCCCATCAATACACCAAACTAGATCAACATGGCGAATCTGACCTTAAAGGTTTTGGTTATTTAAAACAATATCTGAGCCTTGATGTAGGCAAAATGAAATGCTCCAACCCTGCGACAATTATGTCCGTTCAACATGACAAAAAGCGTTAACGATCATTAATTTAATGCCCAGTCAACTATAATTTTTTATACATAGAGTAGCAGATTAAATGTTTCTTTGGAATATAGCCGAAGCACTTACATCAACATTTGAGGACTTTTCATTCCTAGCCTTATTTTCATTATGTTAATCTACCCTTTGATTAGTAATACCATGATTTATATCGTGCACTACCGATTATGCCCACGTCACACTCGTTGGATCCGTTTCGGGATGTATTTCTAAGCCTAATATCTATTAAACAAAGGGAATCCTCACTCAAGGGCACAAGGAGCATGACAACGTTAGCTGCTTAGAAATGGCGTTATTTTTAGCCATGCTGTATGAGGACGTCAGCAACGCCGTGCCTGAAGGATGTGCACTTCATCTGCTCTGCTAAGGCTTATCACTTGCATTCTGGATCGGATTCTTTCGCTACCGCTATCATTAAAGTAGTAGAAGACGAGATAATAAACAGAAACACATATTATTAGTATATTGGCGGAATTGTTCCTACTGGCAGTGTCCATCGAGGGAGGGAGAGATAATAAGCAAAGGCAAAGTAGGATTTATCAAGTATGAGGAGTAATAAACTGATCAAATTATTCTCGGATTGCAATAACTTAAACATAACCATAATCATTCTTAGATCATAACCTTAATGTTAATTTGACGGGAAGGTCAGTATTCGTTAGGTATTAGGCCTAGTGGTGTGCCTTTTCACTAGCACAAACCTCTTAAGCATCAATCAGAAACGTTGTTTCCTTCATGAAAGGATATTAAGAAGAAACATTTTACATAAATTATTCGACCAATATGTGTCTTGAAGGCAGGTCTTGACGTTTCACGAAGTTACCCAATTGGAGTTTTGGACATGGCATTCGTAGCTCAGAAAAGTAGATTTTGGGAGTGACAAATGTTTTTTTACAAAGAAGCATTTACAAATGAGGTCAGTACCGGAGCTCGCTTAACAGCAGCTACTTCTAATCTCTTTGATAAGATGATTTCTCAGGCTCTTATCTTGAGTACATTGTCAAGTTGCCGTGTGGTTTTTATAAAAGCGCTGTCATTGTGGTCGTCAGCTCTGCTGTTGGTGAATATGAGCAACGCCCAAGTCCAAATCTACAACTTTGAAAATATGCAATTTCGTAGCAAATGTCCTCATGCGCAGGCGAAGTCGGCGATAGGTTTTTGATAAGGGTGGCACAAATTGAACGTCCTGGCACTGGATTGGCCTCAAGACCACGAAGACTGAAGTTTCCGTGTGGTTGAGTGGGAAATTAAGGTAATAATCACCGTACTTACAATGTGTTCCTTTAATGGATTAATTGCCTCGAATTCTCCAAGGAACTTTGTGGGAACCTTTTTACGGTTAGTAACTCCCTACCTGTAAACGGAAGTGGACAAAGAAGTGGCATCTCCTGAAAAGAGTACCCAGGAAAGTGAAAGTAACTGATTCTGGCCATGCGGGTTCCGTTCATGCTGCATGAGGGAGTAGACGAATAAAGTGGAACAGATTTCGCCGAAGCCATCATAAACGTTTCATTTTAATTTTGGTTAAAAGTGAAACAGAACGCCTTAAGCACCTTTAAATTAATTGAAAAACAGGAACGGAAAATCGTTAGAGTCGGGCTTGCGGATTAATGGCGCCGAGGTGACTGACGCATTTAATTAGCACTGCCTCAAGTAAGATTCTTGCGAAACTCACCCTTTAAGAGCACCTTCTCGAATGGCTTGTCTCGCTTTGGGGTGAAGGTTTACCGCGCAAATTTAATTATCTGAACAATTCGTTGTTATGTGAACTCCTCACTCAAAGCGGTGAAGCGCTTACATCTTCCCCCGCCTCTTCTTCCTCCTCTCCCCTCCCCCCCTCCCCCCCCGTATCAGTCGATCGTGGCAGCGACTGTTGGCTTATAGTTCTTTCGCCCCTAACAAATGCATAAGGTGGACCTAAACTCGGTGGTTTTGTAGAATCATCCCATGTCGCAAGTAGCATTTCTAACCTATGCCACGATTTTCTCCTGACGGAATAAATGGAGAATCATTTGGAAGTTTGTGTTGTTATCAGCGTAGACTTTGAAAGCATTTATCAAACTGTAAGCAAGAAATCGAAGGTCCTTTATACCTCTGCATAATTTTACAGAATTTGTGGGGAAAATGTACCACAACCTGCGTCATGGAATGCTATGGTCTGGAGGTGTTTGACTTTGGTTCTCATTATGCGATGAAATATCAAGAGTTATACCTGATTATCTTCTGACCTTCTAATTGTACAAAACAAAACACCCCACTGATCTAGTCTGGAGCATGCTGTTTGAGAATGTAGGACACAAAAGAATACTGTGAATAATCAAGACTTTAACTATGTAGTGGATTATTACTGCCAAAATAACACCTTGTCGAAAAAGACTTCCATCTTTCTTGCGTTTGCATGCAGAAAATGGGAAAAAAGAAAAGTACAAAGAGCGATGCTAAAAGCTAACCGTACACCTAGGACACAGTGCTACCCTGTCTTGGTTATTAGTTGTCCTTCAAAATCTTCAAACCAGATGGATAACAAACTTCAGATCTTGACCTAATAGCTCTAGTCAGCCCGAACGGAAACCTTTCTCTCACCATTGCAATACTACTACACACTTTCGACCGATGCACACCCACAAGAAGCCTTCACAAAACGTCATTTGGTGATGAAATTAGGGTCTTATCAACCAAGATGTGGAATTCATTGATACTTCCCACGGGCTAAGGCACCTACATACACACATTACGACCACACAGCTCTCACCAGCAGAGTATTTCAGTAGAGAATATTCAAAGACGTTCATGAGGTACCGAAGTTCCCAGTCGTAGAAATTACAGTACATGGAGGTTACCTCCATGAAATCGCACGAGCGAAAGACCCTTCAACAGTGAAAATGTGTACAACCAACATGCACAAGCATTAGGAAATCTGAAAAGTTGATGTGTGCCAAATTCAGGACCAGCAAGGGTGAAACAAACTACCTGCGCCTAGGTCTCAAAAAAAGTCTTAACTGAGTGCATACATTTCAGACTTTCTGAACCACATCCATTGGAGATCAATTCATGCCACAAACATCTCAATTTACATGCCCAATGAGTAGAGTGAATCACAAAAAAAAAAAACAAAAAGTAACCGTGGTTACCCGTGTAGTAGGAACCTCCACCTAGGAGAACTAACCCATGGCAGGCTACACCTAATGCTGTGCTCCAAACTCCTGTTGTTAAATGTCGTTTCACTGGCTTTCAATCTCCAGAAAAACATCCCCACTCGCATTTACACATGATCTTCTGCTTCTCGATATAAAAACAATAGAGGTAAACAGATAAGCAGATAGAGCAAGGCAGTAAGAAAGAGATGAGAGGAAGGAGAAGGAGGAGAGGAGAAAAAAGGAGAGAAAGGTGTGCAATTGAAGCAAAGGCATGACACCAAATCAGCATTGACATGACGCGATCGGTCAACTGAGCGACAAAGAGATCACAGTTAGAACCGCTCCTCATCGGGAATGGGACCAACGAGTGGGGAGTGTTTCTCCACCTCTTCAACGCCACTGGGCGCTTCTTCAGGCGTCGCAGTCACCGGTTTGAGTCGAGGCAGCCGTGAGGTGGTGGAGTTGGAGGGGGAAGCGGAGGGGGGAGGTGGAGCACGGACCTCAGTCGGTGACGTCACAGCCAATAAGGAGGGTCGAGAACGCAAGCGATCCTGCTCCAACGTAGACACTTTGGTTAGCTGTTGATGCTGTTGAAAGGTCAGAATGCCGGTAGTAGCGGCGGCAGCAGCGCTGGCGATAGCAGAACAGTTAGACTCCCCAGGCGGAGAAAGATCGATGTCCTCGCCAAATTCGCGTTTCAGTTGTGTGAGACTAACCACGAGGTTAGCAAAGGTGGGACGTCGGTTAGGATTCTGGTGCCAACATGACTGCATCTGTTTTCCCAGTTGGCGTGGCATTCGATCAGGTGTGGTCAGACGATATCCTATGTATAGATGAAATACAAATTCATAGTTATGCTTATTCCCCCGTGCGTAGTAAAATGGTTTAGGTCGTGAGACTTAACTAAAAAATCTACTCATAAGTGGCTAGCTACAAATGGATAATGAAGTTAAGGCAAAACGTAGGTTAAAGTGGATTCAAAATTACGTTTTTTTACAATGATATGAATGAGAGTATGAAAAAATGAGTCTCAAACGGGAAGGTGAAGTGCAAGCTCAATGATTTCACACGAATAGAAAAATTCAACCGGAAATTTCATACCGAAGTGACAACCCACAGCGAGCAACAAGGTCATTCGCGTTAGAAGGGTTTTGCTCTGGTTACTCGCAGACAGTAACGCAAAATGTTAAAGTCAAAGGCAAAACCATCAGTTTGCATTTAATCAAGAAAAGATCTTATGGAAGACAACCTTCAAAAGGCAGTAAAACTCATGGCCTTTGATCACCAAAGTTAATGACGCACTAATTAATGTATTAGAAGCATTTTACAAGCCCTTTTTACTATGGCTTCTATTATGCACATGAAATAACGGTTTGTCAAAGTAACGCTTCGCTTCACATTAAAATCTAAACTGGCACCTTGTAGACTTCATCGCACCTCAAGATCCGAGTAAAGGGTGGGTCAACTTCAATATTAAGCAATTTATTACAGCTAAATGATTTATTAACAGTGCACAGGTTCTTCAAGGCTCTTCTTGACGGACCCTCAGCAACTTTTCTACTAGTGAAGTGGTTATCAGAACCACAATACCAAGCCAAGGCAAGTCATTTACATCACACAAATTAAAGAAAGTGGCAAACACTGATTGTTGATGCACATTTTAGTTATTTGGCAACATATTTTAATAATCGAAGACTAGGCATTCGGTGCAAGGCGTCTTAAACGAAATCAAACACTATAAATGTCCAGTATACCCCTTGTCTTGGGGAGTCAAGTGAATATTGTAAATAGCATCTTAAGAGGAGGCATGTCACGGCCGTTAGCTGTCAAAAAGGCAATGCTTGATCAAGTCTACAGCATAGCACTGAGTCACGCGATGAAGATTAAAGGAAACCGGCAGCAAAACCATTGAGCATTGCATGATAGGCTTTTGAAAGAATGAAGAAGTACCTAAAATGCATAATGATCGGTAGAGACTAGCAATATAATGGCCCAAATTCTGTAAGAATCACTTTAACAAGTGATGTAAAAGTATGAAAAGAAGAGAATGTATTTGGTCTGCAAGCTCTCTTTTAGGCATTTAAACTATTTTGCAACCTTTGAAGCTGTTAAATAGGATGAAAAAACAGGAAGCTCACACTGACTCGTTAGTAAATCCTCGATAAACCTTGAAAATAGAAAGTATAAACGAAGAATGAAATGGGCAAGAACTGAAGGGGGACTACAAGGTCCGATGCTTTTAAAGCTTCTCGGCAGCCAGTGATGTGGCGCCGCAAGGCACATATCAACAATGTACACTAGAAGGAAATTGCAGTAAGAAGTGTTTGCACTAAGAGCAAAGAGAGAGGCGCACCTGCCCGCGGCCACTGGTCAGACGGGTAGAAAAGTACCATTTCAGAAGAATTACACAAAAATGATGGTCTTGTGAAAATGAGATCAGCCATGATTGAATAAATAACTGCTGAATATTAAAAATTCGACTAGAGTACATTAGTCGATTTGGATGAAAAGCACTGGTAAATTTTTGGAGATAAATGTGTGAATCCGGGCAACCAGTAAGACAGAAAATCACATCCGACCTAACATTGGTGAACTAAGCATGAACCGATGGAAGGAACCAGGGATAGCTCAATAATTTGCGTTATTCAGAAATGTTAACTGCATTGTCAAGCATAGTTCGAATGTCGAACAATCCAACACACAGTGAGCAAATGGCTTATGCTAGAAGCCCTACGCAAACAGGCAGACTTTGATCTTGATCAAAAAGTGAGCCAAAAGCAAAGTGCAAAGAAAGCGACGCACACATCTCAAATTACGTGTGTATGTATGCGTGAGAGAGTTATAGAGAAAATTCAACGTCAGAACTGAGTCAGTGGAAGGCTGACTACGCATACACCTCTCTCCCACCACAGCAAGAGGGAAATTTGGATTTAAAAAACGTTACATACGACACCCAGTGAATGAATGCATCCAAGTGAACACTAAAAGACGTCTTTGAAAAAATACTTGTGAAAATGATAGATAAGGGAAGGCTTTCTGTTCATCCCATTTATGGGTTCTGTGATGTCCAGTGGCAGACAGCTGAGAAACAATGGGATGGAGAGGATGGACCAGGACACCCAACCACTGGATTGGGGGGAAGCGTAGTCTCTGCTCTGCTTACTTGTAGGTAATGAAAATCAAGACTCTTATTGAAGAGCTGATACGCCAGCCAGGTAAAAATTACAATGAATGAAAATTGCTTTCCATCAAGAGGTAAGCATTGATGGCCCTCACCATTTTCAACCAGATCCCGAGTCTCGCTGTTGGTAAGTCCATGGTAGGGAGTGTCACCAGCGCTGAAAATCTCCCATAGTAGAATACCAAACGACCAGACGTCACATTTGCTGGTATACCGATTCGAGTAGAGGGCCTCAGGAGCTGTCCACTTGATCGGAATCGGCCCATTGCGATCGCTCAGCTATATGAAGGAAACAGGAAATAAAAACCGAGAACATCAGCACAGCTATTTTTGTCACCTCCTCTGATGGTAATGGCACTACCAGCAGCAAAAAAGAAAATGCAGGACGTTTGGGTGCAGAAACGCTAACTATTGATGAATGAATGTTAGAATCACGATCGAGTGAGAGGAATAAATGGATGTTAGAATGACTGGAGAGTGAGTGAACACGATTTCTTTGCGCTGGATGGGAAGGGAAGGGGGGAGAGGTTAAATAAGATGTGGATTACCTTCTTGCCTTTTTTGTGGCGCTTCCTCTCCCCCTCTTCTCCTGACTGCCCGGGCTAAGGATAGGCGGGAGGGCAGACGATTAGAACAATTGTACCCAGTGCCACCAGCAACGAAAACAATGTTTTTATGAATTACTCAGATCACCTAGTAATTTACACTTTATCTTCCTGGATAGATTTTTAAAAGTTTAATAGTAAGAGATGGAAGAAAGATGCTAAATTCGTGTTGCGAATGCGACAACAAAATTCCTCATAGCTAAAAGTTTGCAAGCGATCACAAGGAACCTTGTCCTTTACTAGTTTAATATTGCTGCCACGCAGGTAGAGAGAAGTTTGGACTTTACTTGCTACTTTGTGTTCAGAGGCTACTTCCAGTACATTCAGAGCATTTATTACCTAAATAATGGCAAAAACGTATGAGGCTAAAAAGAACGCATCCTACTTTGTTGTTATGGCGCATAATAACTGATTTATGGCAGATAAACGTGCGATCACAAGGAGGCTGAACAAATACCACCCAAATGTAGCGCTGAAAGCAGTAGGTTCGAGTCCATATTTTGTAATAAAGGGAGGAGTAATGTAGGGAAGCCAAGACACAGGTCGACGTTAACGCCAAGGCTGTGCGCTTGGGGATCAACAAGTATGCTCTTCCACAAAGATTAATGTTATGTCGTGATATAAGTGAATGTGAAAAAAGTCTCAGCTTTGATCAGTTTTGTCACCTATGATCAGAAGGTGGCTTTGAGTTCGATGCGACTATCTAGTCGAATCAGCTTTCTACACTTAAATTGATCACTTCCACACGAAAAACAGGAGGAATCACCAAGATCGTGTTAGAGTAAGCAAATGAGGCAAAAAAGTTGGAGGAGCGACGATTCTACCTTGACTACGTGCAGCGGATCAGGAGGCAAATGAGGGAAATCGAAAGGGATGATCAACCAACCTCATAAACGTGTTCTTCACGAGCCATTCCAAAATCAGCGATCTTCAGCACCCGATCCTCTGTTAAAAGACAATTTCGAGCCGCCAAGTCACTGAAAACAAAGAAGATGGAGGAAGAGGGATAGTCAACAAAGGAGTGGATTCCTGCGCGGGGCAGCAATTAAGCCATGTTTTGAAAAACTTCCTGGCCGAAATTAGACAAAACATTTGCTAGGTCAGGTGAACAGTTTCAGTGCACATAATCTCCTCTTTACTAAAGCCACCCTATCACAATTGCTTGGTTATAAGTACATAAGTAACCAGGGTTTGGTAGCAATATAACACATGTCCCTCTTAGGAGTGAGATTTAAACGCCGTACGGTGGGAAAACTGTCATTAACACTTTGAATCAAAGAATTCATGTCACACTAAGAACTTCACAAAAAGGGCAAATGAGAAATAGAATTCTGTTTGGCAAAAAAGTACGATAAAGCCTTGAATGACCCTGAAAAAGGCAAAGCCATCCAGAACTGGAATTAAGAGCGACTCGAGTGAAGGACGAAATGTTATAGCAAAAATCTTCAAGAAGGAGGAAGGGAACGCCGATCCGAGTAAAGCTAATGCGAACTAAATAGACAGCATATTTGGCACCAGAATCCATCCTAAAGCATTTGGGTAATAAGAAGTGTTGAAACATTTAATTGCCTACGACCCAAATAGGTACCAAATTCAGGAACAGTGTGGATCGCCCCAATCTTAGCATTAAATTACATCAGAACTAATTTTAACACATCACCACATAAATCTCTTCGCTTTCACAAAGTTGGTAAGGATGAAATGACGAGATGCAAAGGTAAAAAGATGGTAAAATGGGATAGGTATATGGCATTAGGCAAAGAGGTTCACTGAAAATCGGGTTAAAAAACTGGATGGTTTGGTACCACCTAGATAGATAGATCATCAATTACCAACTTCATGACGGTTTTAGCACTCCCCAAAGCATAATATGATGCCAATTCGAGTAGCCAGTCAAGAGATATCGAAATGAACAAACCTCAAAGTTAGCAATTCAACGCGACGTAGAGAAAACCCCGCTATACTATTTGAGCAATACAGTTTTCTAAACGAAATCACAAGATAGATATGGAAGCGATTGTCTAGCCTCACTAGTAACACTTCCAATTGGTATTTTCGAAAGCGCCCGCGACTCCTTCATGCAATGCCTTTCCAGAGAACAAATTGGTCATATGCGGGTTCATCCTGATAATTCATGAATTCACAGTCACCGTCCCAAATTAGTCTTGCGTTTTGGGTGATCAAGGAAGAACAAGGGAGATCTTGCTGATAAAAGCATGATTCAATAAGGAAAACGTCCAGCCACATCTACGTCCCAAAGGAATAAACTAATATGGTGAATGCTTGCCAGAAAAATGGAGTGGAGTTGCTAAGAGAAGAATACCCAACCAAGTCTACGGCCTTGGACAAGTAGTGAAAACGTGCTACTCAAATGAGAAACGAGTTACCGATGGATACAATTTTTGGATTCCAAGTAGGCCATTCCATTGGCGGCGTCGACACACATCCTCAAAAGAAGACGGGTATCTGCATTTTGACCATTCCTTCGTAGGAATGATAACAGCGATCCTCCTAAGTTATTGAAAGAAGATAGTCAGGGTTATTGCATTGTATCAAGTTCAGAATCTATCAATCAAACAGAGCATTGAACACAGGCTGGAAACATCTTCGACAAGGCCTTAAAGCACAAGAGTTAATGCACTAGTTAGTCCGAATGAAAAGTAGAGAATTAAAAACAACATTAAGAGAGAGCTTCAAAACATTTTTCCTTACTAGTACAGTCTTGCTTTAAACCTCTCTGGTCTAGCAATAAATCATTTCATTGAGCTTAAGAGTTCGGAAAAGCGCACTTTGTGGCTCTAGACGGGGTATAGCAAAATTGAAGGACGTTCACGGGTAGTAACAAAGCTTTCCAGAAGTGTTGAATTAGAAGTAACCTGAAAGGATATACATCATCACTTAATACTCTCCATCTCTCACTCGCTCTACTTCTCCAGGTTGAAGTCGCTTGGCTATCTCTGAAAAGCGGGCAATGTGATGTCAGTTTTAGCGTTTTTCCAAAACAGGGGCTTTAAGCATCTACGCTCCGCAATTCGAGTCCTAGCGATGCAAATGGGTTTATTAACATGAATAGTTTGGACGTTTTCAGTGTGGGTTGAGGATAAGCAACAGCCACGTAGGCACCTCTTTTGACCGACTGCAGCGCCAAATTTATCTTCTTAAGGGTTTCATTTCAAAACCAAGATAGGGCCAAAAATCATGACTGTTATAAGAAGCGACAACGTAGACACCTACTATTGCACCGTTGAGCCATGTAGGAGGACTGGCATGGGAGTAACCATGGTAGTAGCAGACAAGAATGGTGCCAATGGATAAAAAGGCGAGCAATACATGTGCATGGAGTCACATAGCATGAGACCACTGTTGCAATGAAACTCACACATTGGGTTAATTGCTACTGGCGTGAAGCCTATACCAGGGACAAAAATCAGGTGGGAATCAATCATCTTGTGTTGAATGACCTCATCATGACCTCTCCTTCTGACGAGCTTATAAATCTTTCGGTGTCTTCAAATTGCGAAATAGAAGTAATTACGAATTACTAGGCTAATAATGAAAGTGTGTCTAAAGTCGAGAGAGTGCGTTAAATAGGAGCGGATAATGCGCTGGCGGTATTAGAGTGAATGCACGCAAATTAAATAAAGACAAATGCGGTGAGAGCGTGAGAAAGCAGGGTAAGCAACGAATAAGCCAAAAAGCGGTAATGATTTCTGGCAAATTAGCCTATCTATCATCACATTTACAGCCTTGGTGTAGAGGAGAAGGTGGAAGGGGAAAAAGGACGGAAGGGGCTGACCAATAGACGAAAGCACAACTAACACCATTTGCACTCGGTAGAAGTAGTGAACATTGGAAATGAGCTGAGAAGAGGTTAAATTAATTATTTCTGCCCATCTACAGTGAGGCAGGAAGTAATGCTGAAAGGCACTGAGAGCCTTGTCTCGTGCTCCGCATTCATACTTCTAGAGGCACAAAAGATTCTCGGAAAATGTCCATTCGAGTTTACTGCGGTCTCGATCTGGATCTCATATAGGCCAACCGCTATACCCCAAAAATGTATTAAGCTCAAAAATGAGATGAACAAATCTAGTTCATTCGGAATAGGATGGATAGCCAGAAATAAGTCCAAGGTTACAGCATTGCAAATCCGTTCCCGTAAGCCATCAGACCAAAAGCTGTGTAATACAGGAAACTCATCCAGGCTGGAAGCAAAGAAGGAAGGAATAACATTAACGTAAAAGAAAATCCAATTTATCAGTAATTCATGAAATCGAGAAGAAACTAACAATTGCAGTAATCCGTCCATACCTCGAAAACCTTTGGAACGAAAACGGTATTTAGACTCTCTAAGGTAAGGAAGGAATTCAGTAAGAGATCCAAAGATGTGCCCAAATAAATTATTTTTATTAGACTAAATCCGCTCTATTTTGAGCACCTAGACCGGACATAGAAAGAATGGCTAATTATCACAAAATTATTTTCAATAGTAGCATAGAGCATGGATCAACCGTTTAGAATAACCGCCTCAAAGGTGTAGAGTTTGGAAGAAACCGTTTCAATGGCAGGCGTCCCCCAAGGAACAAGTCTCAGGTCTCTCACGAAAACGGCACACCTTGTGATTGATAGCACAGCGACTGATTTCCAAAAGTACAGCGGTTCAGTTCACACTGAGGACACGACGGAGCGGGTGTTAAGCCCACGAGTTCCCCAATCACCATAGATTTCGGACGCTACTTTAACATGGTGGAGCTCTTTACCTGCTACCTCCCTGTCAATTTTTAAAGAGGATAACAATTCTCCTACACCTCTACATCGTAAGCGAGAACATCTACAGTGCAGGAAACTAACACTACCTACTTACCAGCGACATATTCCATGACAATCATGATGGGATGAGACCGAACGGCAATGCCCAGTAGACGCACCACATTAGGATGGAAGAAGTTGAGAGCAGTAGCCTCGCCCTGAAGAAACTTTCGTCTAATTTCCACTTCCGCTGGTCCCGCTCGACAAGTCTTCACTGCCACTTCGCGCCCATTGTAAATGCCACGATGCACTTCCCCGAAATTGCCCTACAAATAGAAGTGAGGGTGCTTGCCTAGTAGGTCTGCACAACGATAAGCAATATTTCTGTTGATTAAAGTGCCGTTCTCTTGAATAGTGGCTGATCCCGACCAAGGATACCATACTACGGGGAATTTCAACCTGTTTGGATTTCAAGTGCAATTAAGGCCATCTCAACGCTAAGGATTTTAGTATCACTTAAAATCCACGAATACACATTGAGCTTCAAGAACCGAAGCGTTAAAATGTGTGCGTAAGACAAGTAGAATAGTTTCGCAAATGAATCCATAAGAGAAACGTGAGTCCTGATAGCCCCCTTTAGATTACACTTAATTCCACGACATTATCAAAGTCAATGCCAGTCTTTGAGATAGGTGCATGTTTAACATGTTATTTCGATCAACCGAACGCACGACTATGTAAGACAAACAAGCACTTTATAAAGTAGCTTCCGTTATATCATTATTTGTGTGTACTAAGAGTTTTCTCACCTCCTCTTTCCCCAAAGTGATCTAACTGGAAGGTCGGGTTTTACTGACACTGGTAGGTCACAAAGTTAAGTGAGTTCAAGCAAAAAACGGCTTTAATTAAATAACGATGTAATTAGTACTAGAGGGAGCAATGCAAGCTGTTCTGTTAAGCAGCTTTTCCATCCAACAGCTTTCCAAGATGAAACCGTCCTTCTGTGAAGTTTTGCAGGACTGTGAAGTCTGGACATTTTTATTTAAAAAGCTCTTTTAAGCAACGAAAATGACGAGATTAACAGGTCTGGTTTATGGCTTCTTCGCCCCACCGGTAGAAACATAATTCAGAGTTATTTCAGTGACTTTTACGATCAGAAAAGAAGTTTTGGAAGGGAGGCAATAAATGTCCTGAGCAAAAACTGATTTTATTTCTTAATAATTTATTTGTTCAGACTCAGACCACGCTAGGAGGCATATGAAAAGGCACTGACCACAATTTGGCTCCTTAAACGCGATAAATTTCCAAATGTTAGCATATAAAGGGAGCTACCAAAGCTCCAGACGGACAACTTGACTCACCTGTCCAATCTTTTCCAACAAAATTACATCCTTATTATCCAACTGCCAGTCTGGTCGCGAGATAGGATTAAGGAGGATGGCACCAGAAGATTGGGTAACTGGTTTGCCCGTTCGCATATGATATTCAATGAGGTCTCTAGGATTAATGAAAAGTAAAGAGTGATGCGGTAGTGAAATGGATCCCCAGACTCACTTCTGGTGGTGGGTTATAATGAGAGGCATCTAAATGACGTCGGATTTATTTTTAAACGCCAATGTAATGGTGAAGTCTACAATGACTCGATGTAAAAATCGACCTCAGATTCTGCATACAAATAGGAAAACATTCCGGTCATAAAAAAGTGCTACGCTCAGATGGGGAAGAATCTGCACTGACCAGACAGACGTTTTAATTAAGTCTGTAAAATTACATGCTGGTAATTCAAAGGTTTTCTGACCCCCTTCACTATCTACTCCGAACCAAGACACCATATTCTCGCCCTTAAAATTGTCCAGCCAACTAAGCAATCTGCACATTTAAAAGCATAGTCCAATTGCACCAATCTATCCATTCAAAGTAATAATCCAAAGGGATCCAGTAAGTTCACAGCATTAAACAGCACTATGAACAAACCGATGCCACTGAGGCCTTACTAGAAGAATCAGCAAGTATCTCCAGCAATTCCAAAAGCGATCAGAAAGTGATCTTAATAAACTGTTATCGAATCGCAGAATACTTTCTCAGCTTCCTCGATAACTTGCAAAATGCTTATGAACAGACTCACATGTGGGTAAAGAGACGTACGACCGAATGCGTTTAAAAGTAAAAGACAAGACCGCACTTTAATCTGTCATCAAACACGTCGAATCATCACAAAAATGTACATAAGACATCGAGAAAACTTGAACTAGTATAGTGCCAAAATGGGGTAGTGGAATCAACGGACTTGTTTCCGAGCCTAATGTAATTCGTCCGCCGTACCAAGCAAAAACCACTGCAACTTGTTCAAAAAATAGACCTAAAGGATAAACTATGGTATTTAAGCTTGAGAGGAACAGCGAACTCAACACAACCAGAAAAGTGATTGAGAAAACCTAATAAAGAAGATAAACCAATTCAATTTTAAACGATGTATACGAACTAATTCAGAATCAGAATCACACTCAACAACTTGCCTAAGAGTCGGAAACTCATATTCCTCAAACGACCATCCCCCGCGTCGGTTCCCAAGATCGCCAGAACCATCTACAGCCTCATCACCACCCTGGATAATGAAGTGCTTGTGTCCGTTCCAGTAGACAGAGAGGACCATTTTAGTGACCACCACCTTGCCCCCACTACCACTGCTACCATTTCGATCGACGCGCAAGTCTTCTGTAGACTGGGAACCAAGCAAGGTTACGGTGGATGAGGATGAAGCAACACTAACGGAGGGAGCACCACCACTAGAAGACCAGAGATTGGTGAGGGAAGGGCCCTCGCTGCTACGCTGGCGGTGGTGTTGTGCACGGTTGCGACGTGCCAGGTAGGAGGTGGAGGCTGCTTTACTTGTCTCACGCACCAAAAAATCTCCCTGATTTTGCAGAAGCCTGATAGTGAAGAAAAACATGCTGTTAAGCCGGTTTTACGCCTTTCGGTAACATGAAAGTCAGACTGGAAAAAAATATTGAGTTTGATGAATGCCTTTGCTTATTCTCAAAGTGGATTTCTATTGCAGTTAACAACCAACAGCAATGCAGCAAAGTGAATTATGTACATGAAGAGAAACGACTTGTGGACAGCAATAATACAAGGATGTGAATTAATTCCAGCGTAAGTTTGAACTCAACAAAACTCCTTTTTATCCGGTTAAGTAAATGCTACTTTGCCTCCAAAAGAACTTCAGTGCACACCAAGAGATATTCATCCCTCTTCCAAAATCACAATTACGTAGAAAGACCAATCCTACTTTGCGTCATTCGGATAGTGCCAGGTTAAAACTTCGACACTCACGTGACATTTTCGCACATATGGGACGCTAGTTGAAATTAACTTTGCTCCGACCTCCATAGAAAAGTGAAGAAAAATCGCCCTAAGCGGTAAGTTTCCTGCAATGGACTGTGCATAAAATTTGTCATAAACTGCACGAAAACGATTGATTAATGTATCCAACTCTACATCCGATTTATAGTAGACAAACGTGAAAGCACTAGAAATTTTCTCAAAAGGAAAAGCCAATCACAAAAAAATTGCATACAATGACCCGAACCATACGACCTCCTAGAGTGAACAAATGTTACCCCAAGAAAGTGTGAAAACTGTTTCGTCCATAGAGGGATTCGTGAAACACGCAAACTAAGAGCATTTCCAACAGAAGTAAATGAGTGATTTAGCTCGATAAATTGAAAAACACCAAATCGCAATGGGAAGCACTAAAACGGTTGGTCTTTTATCTGAATGGGAGGGCAGGAGACCAATGAGAAGTAAGCTACTTGGTTAGGAAAAACTGTTCTTGCTGAATTACCTAAAGAGCGAAAGGAGCACGAAAAGCACGAAATGGATCAAAGAAGCCAATATTAATGCAAGGTCTTAACGGCTGGCAAGATGTTCTGGAATGACACTGGGATGAAACACACTCATGCACAGTGTTATAGGCAACCAAAACTGCACACAGCCAATTTCAACTTCAATATAATGAAATTTGTTCGATTCGTACTTTAATGATATCATTAATTAAGTTACCAAAGGCTCTGCTACCATCTTGATGGCATGGCCCTAAGCTCGTGGCTAGGGCTTCCGTGCCTTTTGTACTTTAACAGTAAAAGTATGATTCGAGAAGCAAATAAGTATTCGACTTTCTCGCTACTTCAAAGAAATACCTCTGTCCATTGATATTACAAATAGATATGGAATAAATTGAAGTGAAGTTAGGGGAGAGCATGAATGCAGAATTAGAACGGGCACAGCGCTTGTTTTAATTAACACCTCAGATTTGCTAGAAAACGGTGAGCTCACAAATTTACAATTTTTTGTATCATGACAAAACTTATTATGAATGCAGTAAATTTAAGATTACAAAGTAGGAGTTAAAGGATAGAACATACCGAACAACTTCTGTTCGCGGTAGCACTCCATGGAACCATGGTTCCTTGTTGATATCAACATCATCCTGAAACGAAATAGCATAGGAGAAACAGCATAGACACGGGTTATGCACCAGCAACACAAACAGCATCGGAACTTGCCAAAAAAGAGCACCATAAAATCAGGTTATAATGGTTTGGCAACGAGATCATAACAACTTAAAATTCCCAAGCCATACTAGGAGAAAATCGTTGGAATGCTTCCTTCTTAATTGAAAACATGAATCAAGCCAAGGAGGAGAGCGAAACAACCTGAACGCGAGTCATGGATCATCAAATTGCTTTGCCATGCAGCTATGCATACTACTGAAATGCGTGATCAGCAAGAAACCAATCACATGCAAGTGGGGTCAGGCAGAGGATAATGATAAATGGTAGCATTTTGTTTTTGCATACCTTGACGGAATCTACTTTTCAAATCTGCAGAAGTAAGAAAAGTAGCGAATAAGTTGGATGACGAGATACTTTTACCCTACTTAGCGAAAAACTTCGGTCGAGGTGATTTAAACGGTAACCATAAGTGGGCACCACGCCATGGTGATTAAAAGTGAACATTTTGAATGCTCGAACAAAAAAACTAACATAGCTAACTACATGCATGTTACATAGTTTAATTATTAAGACACCTTAATTCGTTTTCTAAAGAATCTGGGGTTGTCTTTTTATAATAATAATGAAAATGTATCTGCTAAAATGATTGAAACAAGGTTATTAAGCTGGAAAACACAAAATTAGGCCATAAATTTGCCTTTTCCGATTTTAGGCTGCAAAATGCTAGCATTAAGCTCAAACATTCAAATGTTATAACTAGATTTTTGGCCTTGGGACCTGCATGGAAAGAAAAGGGTGAGATTTGGATCGCTGCAACACCAATTTGCAAAACATTAGGAACATGAATAGACTAATCCGTACCTGATCCATTCGATGCAAGGGATCGCTTTCATCACCATCATTCAGCTGGCGAACCGATTCAACGGAGATGCTGCTCAAAGCTCCCCCAGACTGGTCCTGATCCACTGAAGAGGCACTGTTGGCTGGAGCGAAATAAAAAAATAGAAGGCATAGACGTGGGCTTCGTCCTTCCGAGGCCTATCCTTCAAACATGTGCCAATGGGACTTGAAATTTAGGCGCTGATTTTCTAATGTAAGGCAAGGGTCCTCTAATTTGCACACTTACCTATTATCTATTATTTTTTACGTAAATATCATTAAAAAAATAAACGACAAAGCAAATACTTGGCCAGACTAGACCAAAGTAGTGACCTCCTTCCAATATAGTTTAAATGCATCAATTTTTATGCCTTCTGTAGGAACAACCAAAAGAAGAATAAAAAACAGCTTGGAAAAGGAAGATCTTCTAAAAGCTAGGCCATAATGAAAGCAGTGAAGGCAGAGTTTAAAAAGGAGTCCGTAAGATGAAAAAATATGCGCTGAGCATCAATTAGTTCCTAACTAATCCAAAGAAATATAAATGCAAAATATACATCATAAGCTCATTAAGGTGATAAGGTGTCCTTCAAACACACTGGGACTGAAATGACTATCCCCGCCGACGGATGTAGTAAGTTTTCTTGGAACCAAGCAAAAAATAAACACAATCCATTCATTTCATCGTGTCCAATGAAGATGGATGGGTGGACAAGGGGATGGAAGAGGGAGAGAGGAAGGTGCAAACTAAACATGGTGGCTGATTGGAAGAATGAGAAAATGTGAGACCGAACGTGCACGAAAATGAAGACCGCTGAAACCAAAACGCCTCTTCTTTCCCCCAGCCCAGGTGTCACGCTCCAAGACTGACTTGCCAGTGATCGACTGATTTGTTGTGGCAAAAAATAACGATAAAACGAGATGAATGCCATAAGGATCCTTGGATTCAATGGCCTCGGGTTAAAATAGGTGCTGTTGAGAAACTGATACTCCAGCACCTTTTGGGAAGTACAAATTTTGAAATTGATCCAAAATCACATTAACTTCACATGCTGAACTGTTTTGAAAGTAACTCTAAGTTGGAAAAAATACCATACAAGGTTGAATTCTTTAATTTGCAAGGCAAATCTCGTCACCGGTTCCTCAAACCCCAAATAGGAGTTTATTGAAATCAAGAAAATTTTCTCATTTCAAACATTTCATGAGTATTCCTGAGTAGGAGGATCTCAAATTTACTAAATCGTCCATTGACGAGGACAGCACTCCTCATTTCTCAGAATCACTTGGCATCTCGTATTTAAGATCACCCCGTTCAATTCCAATTAGTAGTACATTTTTTAGTATTCCACTTAGTAAATTCATTCGCATTACTTTTCAAGACAAGCTTATAGACGCCTAATCGTTAAACTACATGTCGGCGCAAGTTTTATTTATCCGCTGCCAGACCAAAATTTCACTCATGTCGAGGGCGATAGAGGAGGAAGGAATAGAAGGGCGCTTCCAACAGCCTGGAAGACTTAGAGAACACTATGAATGGGAGTTCGGAATAGGCGAGGTCATCTAGAGTTTACGCAATGAAGTACAGTTTAAACCATAAAGGTTTATAAAATTCCCTACTTCAATGCGTCTCTGACGTAAACCCTTTTGATAAGCTTCCCCCAGTTCTCCCAATGGGAGGTCGATCACCAAAATCCAGATTTTTCACCAATCAAGTACTACTTGAAAACGAAAACGGCAAGTAACAACCCGTCACATCCGACTTTGTACAAATGCTTAACACAAAGCTAAAAAGAACAGCTGCTACATTAACGCAACACCAGCTTCAGGTGTGCTGAACGCAAAGACAATTTGTAGTCCAACTACACCCAACTCACTTCGTGATCGCAGAAAGCTATCAGGAACGACTGAGGAGGCGGAACCAGCAACGATAGAAGGATCCCTCTTAAAAACACGATTTTGTTGGAACCTGTGGAGAGCCTTGCTTCCAACAATGGTTGAGTGCCGGTTGGATGAACGGTTGTCAGTAGGAGTAATTTGGGGTTTCGGGAAGGCGGCCAAAGTTTGACGATGAGACCCTTCCTTAATAGCCTTTATCGATCGGCGTTGGGGCGCCGCAGTGGCACCAACGGAGGCGGACGAAGTGGAGATCGAACAGCCCGCTTCTGCCTGGTTTTGGCCCGGGCCATCGTTCTCAGAATCGGACTCACCAAGACTAGAACGACCCCCAACGGAGATGCTTCCGTCCTGTTGAGGGGTTAAAAAAGAATTTACAGGACAAATCTAATGTGTCAGAGCAAATTCTTTCCAGAATAAGAATGGGAAAACTCCATTTCAGTGTAGTACTAGATAGAAGTGCCGATGTGAACTAATGTAACAGCTATGCTTTGATTTTTAAGTGCTCTTTGATTGGCGTTTATTAGGTGAACCAAGGCTTCAAATGCGAGGCTACTTCACTGTTTGTCCGCACAACGACTCTTATGGCAGTTATTTAGAATACATTTACTAATAGCAGCAAATACAAATATATGTGCTTTTCTCGTCATATTCTGTACCATTTAAACCACGTTGAGCAATTGATTAATGATTAAGGAGGTCTATATTTAGCTAGAACTGAAGGTTTCGTTTCCGATTTTCGATGGGTAAATGGTATATTTGGCTACCAAAGAAGTTATCGGCAGATATTTAAATAACCGAAGTCTACACTACGCTTAGTAAGACAATCAACGAAAAACCAGTTCCTAAGGCGATTCAAGTTTTGAAAACCAGACAACGCTGATTCATGTGCACTGGATTAAAGCGAAGTGTTGAGTACCATATGGGCTTATTATCTTTAAGTCTGAATTTCCTTCAGACAGCAATGAAGTCATGTCTAAAGTAGACTTATGGCAATTGAAGGAGCGACGAGGTAGGCTTGGCACCCATAGTGCACTTTGCCAAATGAAATCGACGCCTTTGTGCCTCATTGTCAAGAGCTAAAAAACTATGTATCCCTTCAATTAAAGACACCAATTTCGCCACACCTTATACCGCGGTGAGTGTTACGTTCTCACTCTTTGCTAACGGAAATGTGCTTGGGTTGAATTCAGAAAAGAAAGGTGGGTGTCGCATCGCAAACATGCACGTGAGAATGAATCCGGCACAAGTTTCTTCAATCTATCATACGCACAGGCACATATGCGGATAGTGGCCTGAGGCATTGAATACACCCTCGTTCACCCCAATCAAGGCACCTGATTTAATTTTTTTTAAGGAAAAAGCTAAAGGACTACCTAAACAACACTCCCAGCTCCATATACCCCTACGCCTACACAATGCGGAACTGGAGTGAAGAGACTTATCTCGGGTTATAAATAAGCCGTCAAAATTGCTTATTTTCCTTTCACAATATTGATGGCATGGGAGCCACAAGAGGGGAAGTTTGAATTAAGACACTATAAAATTAAAATACCTGCACAACTACGATAAATCAAAGATGTGACGATAGTTGATGTGAAAACAGCTCTTCTTCCGAAGATAAGACCAGTAGACCAGAAATTCTATATCCATGTGTTGACCAGCATACGGGAAAAGGAGGCCGAACCGTTTACAATTGTAAGCTACTTATGAAATTTTGAGGTCTGCACTTGGAAACTCAGCTTCATTAGATAGTAACGCGGGAGGTTTCAGCGAAAGGATTTTTCTCAAAGTACGACAAGCTTTATGTACTGAGTCTCGAAGCAAATCATTTCTTAAGAACAAAGCGCCAAAATTACTCAAAATCCTCCAATTCCTCTACCACGCCTCGCATAATGAAGGATGTTTTTGAAGTTGTTTATTAAGCCAGTTTGTTTTAGTTCAGTAAGGCATATCAAAAAAAGGATTCTACATATGGTAAAATGAATTTCCAATCGTGCCAACCTAAGATTTGAAATGCAAAGTGCATTCAGCTGAATACAGCTGCGCATCTTCCCGTCGCTTTTAGTTCTTTCCACTTAGTTTGATACCTCTCCAGTATGAAGTATGTCATCTAACTAAGAAACGCTTAGTTCCTTTCAAGATTGGATGAGCAGAGCCCGATTAAAATTCCTCTAATATCAAAACATTATCTTCAAAAACGAATCGTCTTAGGGTTCGGTACACCCATTACCATCATCTCCAGAGATCTTATCCATGCAATGCAAATCTACAGACGTACACCCAGAAACATGCATGCGGAAATCGTACATTTACAAGTAAAAAGAACACCAGTATGTAGAGGTGGATTTCCAAAAAGGCCATTGCAATACCTTTCCTTGACAAAATATCGACATAAATGGGTTCACCATAGAAAATTCTTCAGTTTTCAATCAATGTGCAGCAAAATGCTTTCGATTCCGTCACAATATCCCTCTCTGTATAAAGAGTACATCATCTGATGCATAGGACCACCTCTCCAAGTGCTTCGAAGCTCGGAAGGTTGCGAATGAGATTTCTTAAAGTGCGTGGAAATTTCACCGGTTGAATTTCGTCAATACTTTCGTGAATAAGAAAAATAATTTGTGGTCCTAGCAGACAAACAGATAGAGGCCACTAAAGCGAGAATTCAATTATACACCAGAGTGAAGAGAGTAACTTATTAGATTTATCGTCTTTGAGCCTGTGAAAACAAAACCATAGTGTGTAGAGGGCGATAGGCCCACTAGAATGAATGGTACATACCTATCTAGCCAAGTAATGACCGTGAGTAACTGAGAAGGAGTGTGTTTTGAAAGACAATGATGAGCCTGCTTTTATATCTTTTTTTTTCAACTGAGTGGTGAAAGTGGATTGCCAATTTGTGTCTAAAACAACATGTTACTTGAAAATTCATTGCGTTAGATTCAATACGTGGGAAATTTCGCACCGTGGTCTGAGCTGCGAAGGCGGTTTACTGCGATCAGCTGCTTGCTCGAGTGCTGGAAACACACAATATGAAAGCAAAGAAATGAAAGAAAATAGAGGGTTGATGGAATCATATGGTAGTGCAGATTGGGAGCAAGCAGATACACACATCTTCAAACCTATCCATATATTAATACTGAGTCCTGTATTCATGCATACACGAGGCAGACATAGCTTGAACTTCCTTTTCATACACAAATATCACCGCATAGCAAAACGCCATCGCGATTATCAGAAGGTGAAAAGTGAACCTTCCTCGTCATTTAGCTGGCTACTTTTTCCACTCATCAGCAATATCAAAGAGTTATCATTAAGGTGAGTGCGCACCTTCACATATCATCAGGCATATAACGGTGGATCTAGATGGTCAAGAAGAAAATGAGAGAGTATCTCAAAAGTAGGTATAGTGGTAATTGTGCTAAAAAGGTCTCCTCGTTTTCATATGCAAAAGTGAGAGTGTTGACCATTGGTAGGATACCGCAGTTAATATAGTCTCAAAGAAAATAACACCATGTAGGGTTTGTAAAACAGAATAAATCACAGCCATTTTAACTGATGTCTACCCTATGACCCTTGAAAAGTCAGCGAAAAAAGCAGCCATTGATGATTAATCTCAAATATCTATTACATACATCCAAGTAGGCTTACTCGAAGGATCAAGCAAGTCACTTTCACAGTGCCCAGTACAGAAATGCATAGAAGTATACACGGTTGAAAGACTTGAATACAAAGCCATGACTATTGGTTGCCGAAGAGCAGGATGATTGATAGAATAGTTGAAAGAGGAGATTGGAAGACACCTCTCTTCCCCTAAATCCGAAATCTAATCACCAAGACAGAGGATATGATTGGTTGTTGTAGTAAAAGCTTACCAATAGAAGAGGAACCATGTGTAAAAGGACGAAAGAGACACTTTGAGAAACACTATAAGTAGCTGCCAGGCACTGACACGGATCAGCATCAATAGCCGCAACCAACCCCACTGTTAGCCAACCAATTAAGCAACATGAATGCACTATACATTGAACAGCGGCGTTCATTTCAAACTCAAACCAATAAATACGGATAGTCTACAAGTCACGGCAGCATTTTTTCCGATAATGGCGTGTTATCATTCATAATGGTATCGTTTTACAGTAAGGGCTCCCAGAACGCAGGCCCTTCTGACTTAAAGCAAACTGGACTAGTTATAAGCATCTGAAATGGAGTAAGCTAAACAACCTGTAGCTGTAAGGGGTTAGAACCTCATCAACAATAAAGGATGCACTGTAATTTGCCAACGATCTGTTTAGATTGTATGAAGTTATCCTAAAGGATCGAGAATTCTGGAGATACACCTCATTGTTGATTGCCTATTTAGTCTAGTAGCACCATAATCATAAATTACCGTCTTAGTAAAACTGTGACAAACCTCGAGGTGGTTTAGAGTTGCCCACATAATGGAAGACTAAGGGTCACAAAAAGTGAGATCTTGTGCCATCAATAAGTTGTTTAAGACAGAATGCATCTGATATGTACCGAATAGGACAGAGATGACAAAAAAGGAAACCTTTATATCTTCGATGGCCAACGCTGCCTATTCACCCTACTTGGTGCTCAGGCTCGATAGTTGACAAAAGTATGTAGGAACTTCAACAATTCAGTTAGTAATTTCTCAAAAGACAAAATGAGCCATTGAAAGATTAGCTTGATATCGGAGTATAATCATTGCGAATCATTGGCTAAAAGTGATCCTGCACAGCTATTTTCGGCACTTCTAAGGCTCACTAAAGGGAAATGCAGATGAATCTCTTAACGATGAATGGTTTGAGTCAGTAAACTTAAGAGAAAATAGTATGAATAAGATCAAATAATATTAAATCACTTTGAAGGGAAACGCACCGGGTTATCCAGCTGCACTCGAAGACAATGAAACCGCGATTCCAATATGTCCAAACTCGTGGCTCCAACCCCACCAGCACCACCACTAGTAACATCAGCAGAAAAGGCCGAATTGATGGAAGAAGTTGTGGCGGCGGCGGAAAGCAGTGTGGATGACGATGAACTCGATAACGTCGTCGGCTGTGGTAGCGAAGGCGGCGGGGGTGAGGGCGCCACCACTTCTGCCTGTCTCAACACTCGTACAATTTGCGCGTGGCTGTCCGCAAAGCACACCGACTGGCAATGAATGAACTCGCAGGTACCCAATTGGATAGCCAAGGCGCAGATTGTGGCCGGTTTTGTGGCTGCACTTAGGAAGACTTTCTCCTCATCTACTCTAGGTGGCACCTCCAAGGGGTTTATGGCCTCTACTTCATCCAACAGACGTATCATTGCTTCATCCGTCTTCAGAGCAGTCGGCAAATCGCGTAATACTGGACCTGCTGAAGACAGCACTGAGATCCAGGCCGATACAGAAGACACAAGTTTGGTGTGCTCGTTTTCTAGCACCTGAGTTATGCTCCCTTGGTTGGTTACCTCTTGCAGATGGTTCTGCAACCTGAAATGTTGCAATGCAGGAAACTCCGAACTAGAAGTGATTCCACGTCGTTTAATCTTATTTTAGGTTGGTTTAATGACATGGAATAGTTGTGAAAAACTGGTTCTAAGCAGATACGGAATATCAAACCAATCTAAAAAAATGAAAAACAGACTGAATTGGAAAACCGAGAAATCACATCCACTTTGCACAAACAAAATAAATGTAAGCTTTGAGAGAACTCAGCCTTAATGGGGGGAGGGGACAAACATGTATTTCAAACCGAAGCTGTAGGGTACTAGAAGCGAAATTCCGTTAATGCAGATCAAAAACATCCATGTTTTGTCAAAATTAATGCAGTGACAAAACTTTCCCAACACACAGGCATCAATGTTCCCAAATGAAGCAGTGAAATGAATCGGTCGACACAAATAGAATGAGCGTCTCTATAACAGGAAGCAAACGTAAATTTAACCTCTGATCTTAATTGTTCCTGATTGGCACTGTAACGTAACAAATCTGAAATTCCCATCATGAACTGTAGGATGTGAACTCAACCAATTAACTACCACAGCCAACATTTTCAGAGACACTAAATCATCTTTCGAGGATTATTTTCATAAACCGAATATTTGTCACAAAGCGTTTATCATATTACGACTTCCTACAGCACATGGGGTATTTTTACGTATTTAATGAGTTAACTGAAGATATTGAGTGCAAAGGAAGAAGCCCAATGCGCTATATTCCGGGGTTTTGTTTGCTTATAATAGCTACCTCAGAGAAGAAAACAGCAATGATTGCCTGCTGTGTGCCACACGCTAAGGAAACCATTTTCGTGAACATAAAAAACATTCATGATTAGTAATAAGTACCACCCAATCAAATATATCCAATGCTACTGCATTCATCATCCGCTCTATAGGAAATTTAGTGGAACACACACTGTGCCATGTTACAAACATATTATAAAGCATGGAAAGCAAAAGGAACTTCTAATTAGATCAACGAGGCACTCAGATGTGACAAAACTTCCTCCTCTCACACGAAACAAATCAAGACAACTTACAGCTTCTGGACCGGATAAACTGTCGTCTGGTTGACAATAATCGTGTCCGGTTGCAGAGCCTCATCCCCAGCACGCACAAGGAGATCCGAGTCGAAAGGAAATGCCCGTCTAAAGGTATCCTCTCCAGGAGCTCCCATACCCTCGCTTAACCCAGTGTCGAGGTGAGTGTCGCCCAAGGGATCCGAATCTGGTGGAGGAATGAAATCAAAGGCACCCTTGGAAGCCTGTTCAATACGTGCGAGACGAAGAAGGTAAGAGACGGCGTAGTCGACCAATCGTAAACATCGATTTAGGTTGCGATAAAGGCATGGTTGGAGCCGAGTCACAAGCCATTGGTGATACTGACGTGCCGTGATTAGAGAAAGAGTGTAGGTGTTGTGTGCCATGTGGAGCTTGAACGTGGCCCCGTCCAATTCGTTAACAGATGATTCAATTGCTTTCCTCTTGCTTGCAATGCCTAAGGAAAGAAACAATAGAAAGAAGGCAATCATAAACCTGCCTTTTTCGAGTAGCGAATTTATTCGAGATCGTAGACGAGTCACATTGTCCGCATACTTTGCGTACTTCTTCCAGCACTCTCTGACATCAGCTTCCAACTGGATAAGATATAGAATAAGAATACTCGATGTTTACCTGTGAGGAGTAGGTCTCCAGCTTTGTATCCAATTCTATGTAGAGCGATCGAAGACGCTGTAGAGCGTCAGAAACCATTTGTAACTGATAGGTGGTTATTTTCTTATGGAAAGAGGCACGACAAGCCGCAATTTCCGCACGTGCTTCGTTAGCTTCAATGAAACATTGTAAGAACTATAATAATAAAAATGAACCCGGTTAGTACAAACTAGAACGTTGAGATGGAAAATGAGAGGAAATAGGACCTGTTTGGCTTGTGGAGCACTTGAACTTTGAAGACCATTTGTGCGAGCAAAAGGAGAAGGCTCAACTGTCATTTCGGAGATACCGGAGTCCACAACTGAATTATCACCAGAGGAAGAAGCACCGGCTCTAAAGGGCGGATTGAGAATATTGGGTTGGCTCCCATTAAAGCTGGACTGCGTGGTGAATCTACCGTTTGCTTCAAATTTTCGCGACTTTGAATACTGAACCGTATGCCATAAGGCATTGGAGACCTTATTTTCGGCTTTAACTGTGCGAGTATAAAAGTCCAGTAGATCATCGACTGCCTGAATACTCTCATCGATTTTCGCGACACACATCAAGCGTGATTGTTTGACAGAAACAAGAGATAGTGGAGGAAGACCAGAAGACTTGCGCTGTCGGGTGGAAAAGAATGACATAAATCCCGTCTGTTGACTGCCTGAACGAGCAGATGTTGGCGGGCTGAGAGAAGATATATTTGTGGATGCATCCGACACACATTTAATACCATTGATTGCAACTGTAGGAGGTGGGTGAGTGAAGGAACCAACTTTTGTTTGACCAGTTTCAGTTGTAGAACAAGTCACGATGTTACTTCGTATCTCCCTATCAAATGGCATCATGAATGGAAGTGGTTGTATGATTTCCTTAAAATGCGAGTTGAAGCATAGTGAAAACGCCGAGGAACTGCCGACTAGCAACGCAGTGAAGAACCGAGTAGTTTAAGCCGGTAAGTAAAGAACCAATAAAAATAGTATGCTATAAACCAATTAAAGCAAAGGCGCGTAGTACAACCTTGATTAGACCAATTATGCGTTCACCTAGCACAGTAGTTCATACTCCAAATGGATCCACATCCCAGGACTAAATCCACAATCGCTCACTCTTACATTAAAATTCACGCATTGGATATTCAATATTATATGTTCTAACTTAAAGAAATCAAATATTGCACGAGTGCCGAAGTGTTTGTTACCCGAAAGGTTTAAAACAGCCACCAGTGCAATTCACGGCCTTAAATAAATAAAACCTTTCTAAATTATCTCAAGTCAAGCAGTTGCATGGGTGTGAAATTTACATTAAGCCATGACAAAAAATGATTTAATAAGCCGGATCAAGAGGCAATAATCAGGATTCTGGGCGTTAAATGGGAGTTAGGTGAGATGGCTGACACACCTTTGCAACAATTTACAAAATGAAGAGGAAAGCACATGGTAATGAAAATTGCCCAGGCACAGAAGGGCAGATCGTAGGTTTTTGCAAACAACTTATTGAACTTATTAACTATACAAAAGGCTTAAGTCTTTTAGCAGGTTCAAGTATTATAATCTATTAAAATGTACATACAATTTGGTATAACAAAATTTACCTTTGAATCAATAATAATGGACTTTTTATAAGAGTTTTTGTTAATATACACATTTATATAGAATAGTTAGGTGATTTTGCCGAAAAAATTTTATTGTTTTAGTATTTAAATGTAAATGTACCTAAGGTTATGCAAAGCTATGAAATGTCGAATAGAGTTTGCGGCTTTCGCTACCATAGTTTTATTAGTACTCGTTCGTTGCTTTTACACAGTGCAAAAACCCACATTCTACAGCGCCCATAATAATCTTACCCGAGAAATGATTTTAAAGCTCATCAATGACCCCGTTGATCCTCTGAGGACTACAGTTTTTGTTATAACGCCAACTTATCAACGATGGACACAGAAGGCGGACTTAGTACGGCTTTGCAGTACCTTGAACAATGTAAAGTTTATTCATTGGATTGTCGTCGAAGATGCATTAGAGAAGTCTGGGTAGGTCTGTTTCTTGTATGATAATGCGTTTGACTTTTGCATCTGGTGTAAACTTGTTTTAAGTGATAAGATTGATGCTCTTATTATGCCATTTTTGTTCATATTAACGTAACTAATTTAATTTTATCAAATATTGGGTGCTGGCGATTGCTACTACGCAATTTAAATGCATCGATTCGCATTTATTTTTACCGGGTTTTACCCTCTCACTGGGATGATCTATGTCTTTTTCAATACGACTATTACACAGCCATGACCTAATTCAAGTTTTATCGCCTTTGCATCCTTATTTTTTATCAATACTTGTAAAGATCTTTTATTGCTTTTTGAAATTGTCTTGGTATTTGCGAACTTGATTTGTTTTTAGCTGGCTTTCTTGTCTACAAACATCGTTTCTCTTCCTTCACCATCATGTTACAGCTACATAGGCTAACTTATTTCTCTTAAGGCTTGAAAAATCGCTTACTTATTTGCATTATCAATGATGATGAGCTGATAATTGCCATCCATTAACGCATTGCTTGATTTTGCTTTCAGTTAAGACCTACGGTAACGGTCCTCATAACAACATATTCAGAGCTAGATCTCACCTGTACTCCTCGTCTAAGTCAAAATTACTTCTCTTGTCCAGCCGTTTTTGGCCTCACATTTATAAAATACATACGAAGCATTGTTTAATGACGCCGATAGCTTTAATTTTTACCCATACATTGGATGTACTTGATGTCATGATTGATGCACCTGCCTTCCCCTTTAATTTTTTCAGTAATTTTATCTTCCCCGTTCCTCGATAGTGATTATTATGTTCATTTGTGACAAAATATTTTATGAGCATATGTATATGAATGAGTGGATGTTTTATTAGTCCGCGGAGTTGCTTCTACTAAAATAACGGAAATAATCATTTTGTGAATGCCGACCTCCTCTCTGCATCTCTTTTGTGTGCAACGCAATTAATGTACTGTTTCATTAAGAGAAAGAATCAGCTTTTTGGTTATGAGTAATGTTTTTATCGTCGATTTTATAATATCTTGTAAATCCACCTTACATTGTATTTGTCGCTCCTTGCATCATTGTTACTCATCTTAACAGTTCGTCAGTTATTGCAGTAACAACAGCTTTGCAGCACCAAGTTTGGTTATGATAGACCGTGCAAAACTTTTAACACTGATGAAGTCAACTAAATGTGGGGGGTATTATATGATTATAGCGTGGCATAATAACATTGTGTCCTGTTTAGCCCAAGACGTGGCTCAGGACACACTCATTTTTCATTCTCTCATCCATTCTCCTTCAAAATAATGCGCATACAGAGCTGACGCACATGACTTCTAACAGCCAGGATGATTTCATAGTTATTTTGGCATCACCTCCACTTTACACTATAATAGAGGCTCCACTAATATGAGCATTGTAATTTTAGGAATGGCTCATTGCTTTTCACCCAACTTAAAAGTTAAGGAGCTTGAATGAAGTAGTTGTTCATATTGATGTGAATGTGCTTTAATGTTACGTGAGCTCTCTCTCATTCTTCGTTAAGACCATGTACATTACTCTCGGTTCTTCACTTTCTTTTTACTGTTGGTTCTGCCGTCGTTTTGCTTACACGCTGATGAACGAAGGACATGTTTCTGTGTGACAGAGATTGCATGCATTATTAAGACCTCTTGGAGTTTGGATCAAAATTGTGCTCTGTTTACCACCCCATACGCATTTCCCTTTTACCAACCCTTGGTGCGCTTGTGTTCAACTGCCGAGGTAAATGATGTGTCATCTCATCTTCTTGTGCATCATTCCCTCAGACAACAACAAATTTTACCTTAGGAAGCACTTTTCAAGAAAAAGGAGCATGGATTTCATGTGATCATCTGGTCATGTGGCGAGTACTTACCTATGAGACGTCTCTGTATTTTGGCAAGAAGGAGGAGGCAGTTGTCCGTTAGGGTAGCCAAATGAAGGACAGCATCTTTTAAGCTATTTCCTTTACAACTCAACCACCATGATCTTTATGGTAACTATGCTGATCATATTTCTTTACCCTCCCAAATTTACTCCCATGTTTTTCAAAATTTTAGTCAATATTCCGCCAACAGTTTGTTCTTAATAAGCAAATAACAAGCTTCACTGATGCTGATAAAAGGAGTTAGGAGTACAAAACGTTGACTAATGTAGAATAAGTGGCATAGTTTCGTGTGCATATTTATTGTCATTCTCAAAATTCATCTCAAATGGCACTATAAAATTCACTGCCTCTAATCCATCGTCTTTTGGCTCCAACTCTACAGACACATTCTCACTTTCGTGGGACGAGTGTCCTCACGAACCATGACAAACAGCTTTTGGCCCCGCCACTTGGTCGTAAACGTTGAACCGAGATAAAAGGTCTAGAAAGGTTAGTCTGGAAACGTGTAAATGCCACATTACTTGGAGGCGTGCGAAACTGTGGCTCGTCAAATCGACGACACCCGCGCAGCTTGGCATTATTGTTGGCGTGTTCCAAGCATATTAACAGGCAATGCATGTCACTTGTCTTACTAGCAAAGCATTTAACTTGGAAGCGCATCTCCGCCCTAAAGGAAAACTTCCCTTCTGAAAAACAAATGAACTTAATGTCTAATGCTGTTGTGTTTAAATGCTGCTTGATATCAAACTATGTTGGCTCGTTTTCTGCGTGTACAGTTGTGTTACACCAGTTGCTTCGTCTACGATGCTCCCCGTTTACGCAAATTCCATTTTCTTTAGACAGTGGGAACAGTTTTATGGTCTTTCGCTCTCTCTAGCACTCAGACTCGTTCTTCTGTAGTAAAATTAGTCTTTCACAAGTCGACTAACTCGTTAAACGGTCAAACAAAATTTTCTTCCGATGCATCAGTTGGTAGTATGTGCGTGTGCTCGTGTGCTGATTGAAGTTGGAGGTTTTGGTGTTTGTTAACAGTCAGGCGATGCGCACATCGCTATCTACACAGGCATGTATTTCCGCCACTTTCCCATAGAAAATTACTTTTTGGCGGCTGCTCCAATGAATTGGTAAATTTTTCGGATCGTATGAGGTATACTTGAATGCAATCCGTAGGTTAGGTGTGGTATATGAATTATTATTCATTCCAGAGCTTTAAATATCGCACCACTTATCATAAGTAAGAGGGAGGCTTAGACGGAAGCAGCAGCTTGAGGTTTGTACTTGAACATTTGCTGACCCTAGCATTTGCAGAAGATTACTCGAAATCGAAAGGAAAGACTTTTTGGCTCCAGTACGCAAGTGAGGGCGGTTATGTTCTTTTTGTTAATGTGAAACGATAGCCCTATCTATTCATGGATTTTTTTACATCTGCCCTCTGCCAAATGTCAACCATGGGGGCGTCGAGTGATTTTACCAAAAAATTTTCATTACCTTCTATCTCCTTGTCTCTCTCTCTCTCTCTCTCTCTCACCTTTTTTGTTTGTCTGTTCGCGCTAACGATCGGCCTTGCCTCTGTGATTGTGACGCACCAATCCGAAAAGTGGAAAATCATCTGCTCAAAAAGCATTAAGTGCGGTTGTTTGCTGTCTGCAACTCAGCACCCATTTCCCTTTTAGCTAACATTTCTTCTCCCTTGTGTCATCATTCTGCTGTCGAGTTGTTGGTCTTATCCTCGAAGAAAGTAACGTACTTGACTACAGGCATGCTGATTGACTTTTTCTCACTACAGACTTTCGAGATTTCGTCAAATTGTGTTGGAACGCCATTGTAATTTTACATACCTCAAATCAGATATTTTAACTTATTTGAATGTAGGAAAGGCTATCTGTGCCTGATTGATTAAATAACATTTTCTTTTGCTACAGCAAACTTGCAAAAGACCTCCGATGTGGATATAATGTGGATATTCGAGTCACACACCATGACACGCGTATACGAGTCATTAATTAACAAACTATTATATGTGGTAGTCAATGAAACCTTTGAAGATCATGCTTGTCAACAGAAGGAGTTGTGCTTACGAAATGCGTGTTTTACGTCTGCCGTCTGCCAACGCACGTGAATGCGTCGTGTTCATTTGACGCTTCAAGCCCTTTCATCGATGCTATTGTACGCGTGAGACAATCATTTGAATGCTTCCACCTCTACCACCATCTACGAAGTAGGACTTAATATTTAAGGGTATAGTTTTTGTGTGTAGTTGTATGAGTGATTGCAAAGCATCTGACTAAACGCCTCTGCTTCCGTTATGTGCACTTCAGTTTTGATTTCTTTGCTTTTTAACTCGACACAAAAGGTGTCACTTGCAGTTAAAGAGACAATGCTTCATTTCCATTCCCCGGTGTAAATCTTTTTCTTTCATTTACTGATCTGGTTGTGTTCACATGGCTTAACTACTTTACAAAAATATGGTGGTGTTGGCGACGCACTGTTTTGTAATGGTGTTTGCCTAGGCTTATAATATTTGAAATGGGGTCTCTATTTTGCACAGAGGTGATTGAGCTCACAATTACGCCGCATTGCTTTGAGAATTTAAATAATCCACCTGCTGACGAAGTAATTGAGAGTAAAAATCGTTTACAATGCGCCGATAAGTCCTCCAATCAGCTGAATTGTTGCAACTTAAAATGGTACACAAAGTGAGGTTGGAGAAATCACGAACTTATCCTTTAAATGCTACTGTTTTTATGCTAACTCAATTAATATGAACCACAAATCGTGTCTGGCATACCTCACCCTTGTGAAATTTATGTCTCTATTAGATCCGTGCCTGACGTCGGGGGCTCATGACGTTCGACACACCTTTTAACTTTGTCTGAAGATAAGATTGCTTTGATTGTTAAAATACTAACAGGAAAAGAGCAGTTGAGAAATGCGTTTATGTACAAGTTCAGCTTAATTTCACTATTCAATAAAAAAGTAGTATTTTTGAATATAAATGCTTTCAAATACCTACTTGTAAAAGCTTTATCGCGCTGCTGCAATTATGAAGGGAGCTTCTGCTTATTACCTCTCTCCCTATTAATGGAAACCCTTGACCCGTTATTTGGCGACATGTGTCACTAACGCCCGATTGCAAAGGCAAACCGTTCTAATAAGTGGATGCTACCGCTAAAACGTCGTGGAGTAGATTTATGTGCTCTTAGAAGGGTAGAAGCAGTTTGCTTGTGTAAGTGAATTTGATTAAAATGGCCTCCCATGCTGCGACTGTTACCGCCGTTACACACACATGAACGACCGAAATCACAGATCTTCCATCTGGGTGCTTATGCATGCATGTGACTCATACGCATCCCCTCTGTGGCAAATGAAATGGCCTCCACAATATTCTCTTCATGGCGTGCATGTGCGTGGCTAACTCTACAGTCCTGCCGACAAGTGAACTTTTGGTGTGTCCCCCGAGGGGGCACGGACCAGGCATCGTTTTAAGAAGCTAGGAGATGTAATTTGACTTGGCATAATGGTGAGAGAAAACGTCGTCTTAGTTAGTTAGAGGTGCTATACGTAATGGAATTGTTGCAAAAGCTTCCCTGAGACACCATCGGAATGGAAAGGACGATTTATAGGTTCAACCATTGTAGGTCCTACCTGCAGTGATTAATATGCATGGGCCCTGTGGAAACATTTGATGTGTTGAAATTTGAAACTATGAGCATCATGAAGGGAGATCGGAGTCTTTAAGCATCTTCCTTGATTTGCAAAAAAATGCCAAACTCTTGAGCTCTGCTCTGAGTGCATTTTAAAAACCAACTTAAAAACTTGCAGGAAAAGCATGACTATTTTGCGAATTGATTGAGTGGTATTGTTAAATCAGACTTGGCATTGATAGTCAAATTTTGTCTCTAAATGGTGCCTTACTCATGCCTTTTTTTGGATAAACAAATACCTTCGTACACATGAAGTAAACTTCCTTTTTAAACTCTTGTGGCTACTTTTGCTACCTGAATGAGAAGTGTTTGTAAGCAAATCAACAAATGTATGACTTCCTTCAAATTATCGATGCCATTCCAATTGCGTAGTTTTGGTCAACTAAACCACTCTTTTAGCACTTTTGTTCAAGGGCTCATACATAGTACGCAAAGTTTATGATCCGCATGAATGAGTTATTCATGACCGCCTTTATCCTCAGACGCACTTCTTGTGCATTACTAGTAAACTCCTGCCGTGAGCTGAGTCGGGCTTTCATCTTCTACTTTGACTTAAACGCTCTACCTGAATGTTTACTCACCTGTGAGGACTGGAGAGTCTGGGGATCGGGCGACAGATCGCTTTATAACTCGGACATGCGACAATTTTAGTGATGCTGTTGATCCCTTCATAAATTCACCTTAACGCAACTTTGTTGTGTGACCTTAACCCCAACTTTGTGACAGCGTTATCCAACTTCTTCTTTGGTCAAGGTTACTCCTTGTTGCTACGGCAAATTGAAGCGTTGGTGTAGATACACCATTTTCAAGGCTCAGAGCGCTTTAAAACACACTATGATGTGGATTGAAACCTTTCCCTTGATATTCATTTTGTTTTTGAGCCTAAACTTCCAAGAAGACATCTTCACATGCTACTGTCTGTTCACTAACTTGCGTCGTCTTTGACTGCGTGTATTCTGCCTACTTTTAATTAGTTTAAAAATGGCAGTCGAAACCACGGTTTGAGGTAATGAATGAATTACAATTTGATAAATTCTCACAAATCAAAAACCAAGGAATTTGTTTTTTGTACACCTCCAGTGATCTGATAGAGTTGAGCTAAATGCCTGCCTACAGTTGTGTTATTATTCCATTTACTTGTCCAATACGAATGGTGAGTAGTCTCGTGGTCCATGCATTAGGGATTGCCAAGTGCTAGCACCATCTGTATGATTATTTACCACGTTAACCTATTTTAACCACCCATATGACGCAGCATAACTTGGCTGTGGAGCTGCAGAGCCTGCCCGCCTACCCTCAGACCTCTGAACCTGAGACCTTAGGAGAGAAATTAGCAGGGGCAGTTTTAGTAGGCATCATGTACAGAAAGAAAGAAGATGGGAGGGCAAAAAGTGATGAGATGAAAAGGTGATATCAATTTGCTAATGTTTCTTCACGCTCCTCACAAAGTTGATTCGTCGTCGGGTTGCATTTCCGTGTCTCCTCCATAAAGACAAACTTAAAAGCATTAGTATGCATTACAGCAGTTAAACCTTCTCTACAAAACAGAGGTCTAGTTGACAGCGTCTGTTATTTGTTTCATTTATTAATTACAGATTGGTTAGTGAAGTGCTCTCAGAATGTGGTGTGCCCTACACTCACCTCTTCGCGATGTCGCCTTTCCGAAGGCGGAAACGGGTGCGCGGTTCGGCTCAGCGCAACAAAGGTATCGAGTGGATTCGCACTCATCCTCTTCCAAACACTGAAAAAGGCATTGTCTTCTTTGCTGATGATGACAATACCTATGACCCACGAATATTTATAGAAGTAAGTTTTACCATATTTGTAGGAATTACGTGCTACATGAGTTTGGAGGCAGCTCTCTTTACAAATGCGTCAAAGCATTTCACGTTTCAAACGTGAAGTCAAAACAAACCTCGATATGAGACTTTTTTGTTTACTTTGATTTTCTCATTTACACCAATATACAGAGAAGGTGATCGAGGGGTGAACGCATTTTGTTTACATGACACCGGTAAAACGATTCTAAAATATGACATTTTTGTGGTTACGCGTAAATATTGGTCTAGAAAGGAGGTCCATTTAGGAGACGATGCTAAACTTAGACCAAAGTGCTATTCAGGGAACGGCCTGACTTAAGACAAAGACTAACCATGTAGTCATTTGTTGATAAATGAATTTCATCTGGGCCCTGTGCTTTGATTCGCTGGGCTAAAGACCAGTTAATCCGCAATTACGATTTATATGGCAGATGCAGTGAATATCGCACTAGTCTTGGAGCATGCCGACTATAAAACTGTAATAGAGGTGGGATTAATATCAAATGCCCTTATAGCTTCTATCAATACCGAAACCTCTGTGCTCACAGCAACTCGTATGCATGCTGAGTCGGAATTTGAGATTTTAGTATCAGTAAGCGCCGAGCTTAGTGCTAACTTTTAAGGTTTTTTTATGTTGACTGCTCATCACTCGTTCTAATGCATATGTATAATCTCTCAGATATTAAGCCTGTGGCTATAGGTGTACTTATCTATTCAAGTAACTGAAATTTATCCACTCTTCCGAAGGTACAGGCTTAAGTTGTCACTAAAGGATGACGAATGTAAGAAAATGTGGGATGAAATTATGTTCTTCGCTTTTCTAGCAGATGTTCTTATGAAGCTCAGAAAATGTAACATTTCTTCTGTGGAGTGTGGGATGTCCTTCGATTTCGTTAGCTTTTAATGCCAAATTTACATATTCCCTTGACTTGGTAGGCGATAAGCTTTCGCCATCCCATCACCTCCCCCACAATCAAATGAAGCTCCGTTGCCTCTAATCCTTGTTTTGTCTATACTCTTTTAGATGAGTCAGAGTGGTGTCTGACAGCCTTCCTTTTAATTTACAATTTTGTTTAGAGAGAAGAAGTTAAACATTTGTCGTCTCCATGATTATGTAGGCAAGGAATCGTATTTAATTTGGCGCTTGATTGTGTCTAAAGTGTCATGAATGCTAGGGAGCTATGCAAGCTATCGATGGAGTCTGACTGTTAGTCTAGATTAGGAGGTATAAAATGGGCAAATTTGTGCCATCCTAAGACGGCGACAGTACAGTCTCTGTACATTTTTGAAATGCATATTTTGTTTGGTTTTTCATGTTTCATTAGGAGTTCCTTTTTATAGTAGTCTCGGATTGGAAAGCAGTGATCATTGCAGCCTGAGTTTTAGCCTAGGCAACCACAAACACAGGCCTTGGTTACTCCGGTAGCATTCAACTGACCAATTAAACTATCTCAATGTCGAACAGCACCTCGCATAAAAGCTTTCTAAGAATTGCCCTTGTTTAGATGCGTACCACACAACTGGGTTCCACTTGGCCCGTGGGTCTGGTTGGTGGAAGTAAATGGGAAGGTTGCATTACTGATCCCAAGGATCGCAGTAAGATCATTGACTTCTGGTGCATATTTCGGCCCTGGCGCCAATTCCCCTTTGACATGGCAGCCTTCGCAGTGAATGCACGCCTCTTCACGCTCTTCCCCACGGCGCGATTTGACTACCATCGAGCCCTGGAACAGGAGGGACTCATTCTCTCACAACTCGGCTTTCAGAGTGCCTACGACCTCGAACCCAAAGCAGATGGATGTTCCAAGGTAAATCGGTCTTTCTACCTATTTTTTATAAGTAACCATGGTATTATACGTTGGTGTGTTTGGTATGTGATTACTTTTGCAGATTCTCGTATGGCACACGCAAACTCGCACACCGTCTTTCGTTCCTTATTTTGGATTTCAACCACCACCACCGAGTTTTGTGTAAATTGCAAAAATCAAACCAAAACGAGAAGAACTTTTTTTATTTTTTTTTTGATCCAAAAAAGAGGAAATTAGTTTATTTCAGCTAAGATGCCATGATAAAAGTGCTCAGTATTTTCCGTCCCTCCCTCTCTTTTCTTGCAGTACTCCTCTTTACCTCCTCCCTACCCAGCATTCCGATGTCCTAACATTTTTTTATATTACTCGCATTTTTTTGTTTCAATCTGCCTCTTCCTCTTCCACTACCCGATGCTCTCTTACGTACGTAAGGACGTTGTTATTTTTGCACTTGCGTGCGCGCCTTTAAGTGCATCGTAGATGCTTATTACTGTTATGAGTGGGCATTTATTTCCTACTGATGAAAATAGTTTGTTCATAAGAGATCTGTTTTGTACATTCCGTTCTGAAGAAGAAACCGAACGATTTGTCGAAATATAAAATGCCTACCATTTAAATAGGTTGTATTTGAGCTCATCATTTTTCTTAACACGGGATCAGAAGTAGACGGTGCGGTTACATTGTAGATTTGAGACGCATAATGCTGATGCATGCCTCCATTGTCAGCTTGATTATGATCTGCACAGGGTGGACGGAATTACAGTCACTGATCGTATAGTAGCTAATTTTGATGGCATCAATCCCATCATGTGCAATTTTTAAATCGTAGACATGGTATTTAGAATTGAGGTGCTAATTCGAACAACCATCTTCACCTCACTCCCTAGGTATCAAATGGAAGTAACGCTTTATAAAAGATTACGAAATATGGACAGTAATATGAAACCATAGCCAATAGCCATAGTGAAGCCAATTTCATAAAACTCATTTGCTATCAACTCCTAACTGTTATAATTTAATAAAATCTTGGCAAAGAAACGCTGCACCTGATCATCATTCGAGCTACCACTCATGGGATCCAGGTCGATCGTGTACAGAAGTGAAGATGTAAACCCTACATAGATAGTGATTGCAGGAGGTCTCTCGATGAACGTGCGCCATGCATCGGTTAGAACGAACAAGCAAACATCGCGTCACATACATAAAGAGAGTGAAACCACTTTCTCGACAGTGTTCAAATGCGTGCTGCTGAGGTATTCAATGACAATCTGATTTGAAATTTTTCCTACTTACAGGAGCTAGTAACATGGTATGCTCTGAATTTCCTGCTTAATGCCAGAATGGGTGCATAACAATCTGAAAATTTAGTAATTTGTAGTTAACACACTAACCTGCAAGGTATTTGAGTCATTCCGATTATTGGCATGAAGATTCCGACTTCTGAAGAAGTTGGAGGCTTTTATGGGCACCTGGAAAAGTGGATCTCCTTCCGTGCGTCACAGGAAGCACGTAAGTGGACTCAGCAATAATAAACAGATCACATCTACCGTGAAAGCGTTCAAGGCCACCATTATTGAGCATTTGGTCCAGAAAGCAAACGGAAGTCTGCAATGCATCAAGACCAGAATACTAATGCAATAGCTTTGGCTTTCTTATCGAAAATCTGACGTTTCTCCAAGACGTGAAAAAATGAAAATTGTACAATGGGCAAGAGGAAACGAATGTACTTCATTGCTCCTTCACGCACCATTAAGCGACAATGTTTTGCCGGATTTTCGCGCTTTATTCAAGAGGCACTAACAACTTGCTCATCTTACGGACGACTAGTCTAAAATTTCCCCCTAGAATGCACTCTCAGATGCATTTCTTAAGTCACACGCAGCGGTAGGCCAATGAATTTATTCTGAGGTGAGAAATTGGTTTAAAAACCAGCTGCGACGTGTTTGCTTAGTGTACACTAACGGCTGTCCGGTTTCGCATTAATTGTGTATGTGTGTACGTATGTGGAGAGTCATTTTTCGGATTGACTGCCCTCTTTAGCGGATGGATGCGCAGTAGTTTTTATGACCACGACGACTTAACAAGCTCCAGTGGCTGGGGTTTTGGATAGCCCAATAGAATGACGTATGGACATCATTTTCGGCTACTGTTAATGCACACTCCATAGCTCCGTTTTGGCGAAGGGGGTTAGTGCTTACAGGTAACAGACCGCCCAAAGTTTATTTCTTTTGGCAAAATCTACTAGAATGACAACGAAGTTGACAAGACTGACAGCTAATGTAGTAAGACTTGGTTGGTGACATCTACTTTCGGTCTGATACAGTTTGCTAGCCAGAAAGTAGGCCATGAGTATCTCATGTACCCTCAAGGCGACTAATTTTTGTCGACAGGTCTGAAGAATTAGTACAACCGTAGGTTTAGAGACGTCACTTCCGCATAAGAAAGTTTCAGCTCTTAGGATCACTTTGCGGAACTTGAACGCATTTAGAAATGATGAGACAAGTTTATGGCATGGAAGCCTTTCAAACGATAGGTTTATAGTTTGAATTAGCTTAAAGGTGAAATCTTGTCAGTGGAATTTGGGAATAAGAGAACCCGATAGCAAATGTTTTTTTTTACATTAAAATGACGAAGAATATGCTTTGGATTGTTAATAAGTTAAGTTTAGTTCGAATTTATGCCAACTTAGGTGGACAAACGGTGCTTCAATTAATGAACTTTCCTTCCGAGGCCGTAGAGGGAGGTTAAACGCCATAGTTCACGTGACTCATTGGTTTCAATAGCGGTAGCGCTGGCAACTGGTACTTGAAAAAAGTTGTTGCCACAAAAAGTAGGCTAAAAGACACGCTTTGTCTGATTGTGTTGTTCTGAGTCCGACTTTTCCACCGGAGAGAGGACGAACCACAGGCCTTAGGGTGTCGCGCACGTGCAGCGCAGATGGGAAGTTATTTCCATGCACAGCTTGGGTCTTAAAATGTGGATGAAATGGCAAGAAAAGTCATGGCTGAGATCGGAGTTGGTTTAAGTCTTCTCCAAGTGGTTGCCGACTTCGTTTGAATGAGGGGAGTAAACTTAGTCTAACAGATGCACCTATTAGGTACGAAGGGGCTTTGAGTAAAAGTGAGATTAATCTGTTATTTGATTACAGCACAAATCTCACACCTTGCATAAGAAGCAGCTTTCGATGATTGTGACTTGTGCCACTTCCACTGGGTAGAGCCACTTTAAGAATTGAGTGAACATACTTCTGACTTTTGAAAAACTCTTTGGGGTGAATTGCTGATTGAGATTGTAGTATGTTGTTTGGTTAAGTGCCTCTGTGAATGGCGGCCACTCTAACAGCCATGCTAAAATTTCCACCTCCGTCCCTTCTGTTCGAATATGCAAGCATTTAAATAAGTGTTATGTCCCCTAAATATCTAATAGGAAGTCTAATGAAGCCGCTTTGGTGGTATCGCAACACGGTCGAAATTACAGCGGCTTTCTCCCTGGCACTCATCGTACGCGACATGCTTTGGAAGGAGAGCCCTCATTTTCTCCATTGTAAGAGGATAAAAAATGATGTCTGCGTTTGACACCTATCGCGTTCCTGTTTTTGAATGACAAGCCATTAATGACATTGCCATGATAAATCGAGAAAAGCTTCCCTTTGGAGTTCCCCTTACCAGATCCAAGCATAAACATCAACATCATAAAATTGCCAGAATCGCTATCCAACTGGAACCGCATAAATTTGTCCTCTTCTGCATTATACTTCTGTTTTGTTCCAGTTTCTCTACTTCCAGTCTCGGGCACACGCGCTGGTAGGCAGAATTTCCTGTCTCTTGTTCATGCCTTCAGGCCAAATTAAGCTGTCGGTTTAGTTGTAGTGCTAAGTGGAATCAGTAATGCAGATGAATGGAGCGGCTGCCTCGTGGATGTTTTTACTTAACGCCGGTTATGCTGCGATGGCTGGAGAGGGAGGCGTATTGAGGAGTGCGTCGGAGAGGTCGTTCGTAAGAAGAGAGGACAAATGTAATGCAGTATTTGTTCTACAGCCGGCATGAGTGGCGATCATATTGCCTCTGTCTGGTGGATTGGACCTCGAGCCATGCAAAAAGCCCATTATGCTCCTCCTTTTCCGTTCAAAAAAATGCATTCAGGCAAGCACTGTGCATTCTAATGTCTAATAAGAAGCCTAGGCACCCTATAGATATGCTTGTAACATTTACGCCTTCCATTGCTGACAAATTGTAGCTCATCCTATTTTATTTACCTTTTGTTTGCTCTAATGCTCAACTGGGCTCTGTTTAAAATCTCATTTTTAACTTCCATCTTACTTCATATTACTTAAAAGGTGCGAGTTCTCTCAGGTGATTATTCAAACGCATAAAGGCGCATTACATCTCAAACTAATTTTCTTTCCCTACTGATCAGTGAGATATGACACCTCTCCTCGCATCTTCCACCTTCCTTTTGACTCCTTTTGGTATGTGTAGGTCTGTAATTTACTTGATTTAAGGGCACATCACAAAGGGCATTTGTTCCTCAAATCGCAAAATTTCCTCATCTTTCGTATTAAAGTAATCCATCTAACATCTCAATCATCGTGATCTGCCAACTCCAGGCAGATCTCCGTTGAAATCACAGTCTTACAGCGGAATTCTCATTTGGGCAGTAGTAGCGGAAAACTGCCCAGTCTCAACTTCACAAAACACAATTAGGATAGGAAGCATGTTTTCTCGGTGCTCCTGCCAATTGGGTAGAACTTTGACTTGCTTGAAAGCTTTATTGTAAATGTTGCCTGAACAAAGTGTTACTGTAGTTGAATACGTATTATGTTTACAATATTCTACGCACCATCCGGACGATTGGACAGACAACCACTTCAGTCGCCACATATTTGCCTTTAGTCTCAGTTGAGACTGCTTCACCCTTTAAAGGAGAAGTAGCCACAGTTGAACTTTTGAACTCCTTGCTCCTGTAGTCCACACTTATTAGCTCTACCACCATTCAACAGTGATCAAACCCAAAACGATGCTCTGCTTCAAAGGTATCCTTTAATGCATATGAGAGTTGGATGACTGAGTCGAAGTGTTATAGCAGATTAAAGATAATTTCTCTGAGTTTAATGAGTTAACACCTTGAGTGGGTACACGTGATTAAAAAGTGTCCTCCTAAAGGCAG